GCCTGGCCACCTCTCTGCCCCTTCTCTCCCGGGAATCCCTGCTCTCTAAGGCCTCGCTCTGGCCTCCATGGCTGCTGTGCCCGGAGTGTCCCTGTCCCAGGTCTTCCTCGTCCTCCCCACCCCGCGTGTGCCCTGGGGGAGTGGGGTAGCTCAGTCTACCTTCTGCTATTTTCAGTCACTTTGATAAGGTATGATTTATACACACGCCTCTGAAGAGTTGATTTGATGAGTTTTTCAAGTATTCGCTGCCACCATTTCTTTTCAGGGGGGTTATTTTGATTTGGTTTCACTTGGAATTGGGGTTTAAGAGGGACTCCCGTCGCACAGCCTGTAGGGAGTTGTGCTTCTCACCCAAAGGTGGGCCCTCCCTGGGGGTTCAAATCCATCCGGTTCCTGGGAGTAACAACAGTCATCTCTTGCCCTTCGACTTATGGCGCCAGAAACCTGCTGGAGGTCGGCGGGGAGTCTGCTCTGCATTGGTGGCGACGAGCTGAGTTACTGTGGGTTCAGTGAAAGCTTACAGGACGAATGTGTTTTCTCTTCACGGTGTGTGCCCGTCTGGTTGACCGGCATTGACCGCAGTCCCCTCACTCTAGCAGCACTCTACCCACTTCCTCCATGGGTTTCCAGTTTCCTTTCTTCCTTCTTTACTGCCCTCTGAGCTTGGTTTCGGGGTAGATGCTGCCCTTTGGGTCTCATAGGGCTTATTGTACTAAGGAGTTAAGGAGTGTGTTCCTTCCAGGATGCCGCCGTGTCTGCCCCTCAGAAAGGAATCTATCCTTTTGTAATCAGTAACCCTGCAGCCTTCAATATGGATTGAAGCTCAACATCAAGAAAACAAAGATTCTCACCACTGGGCCAATTGATAGCATTGTGATAGATGGTGAAGAGGTCAAGATTGTTAGCAGCTGCAGCTTACTCAGATCCAGCAGCCAGGAAATCAAAAGACAAATTGCACTGGGAAAATCTGCTGCCAAGGACTTTTCCAGAGTGCTGTAGAGCAATGATGTCAGTCTAGAGACTAAGGTGCGTGTGATTCAGGCCATGGTCTTCACACTTGCTGTGCATCAGAGAGCTGGACAATGACTAAGGATGGTCGATGAAGGATCGATGCCTATACCACGGATTGCTAAAGGAACAAACAGGTCTGCCCTGACGAGGGTGAAACCAGGCTGCTCCTTGGAAGGATTCTGAAGCTCCGCCTGACACACTTTTGGCATAAAGCAAGGAGGGACCAGTCCTTTAAGAGTGACATCATGCAGGGGAGCTCTGGTGGCCTAGTGGCAAGGAGCTGCAACTACAATCCCAGAGGCTCACGGTTCGAATCCACCAGATGCTCTGCCGGGGAAGGAGGGACAATCTCCTCCTGTACCAGTCAGATCTGATTTGATGGTACACACACACACACAAATAATTTTTAAAAAATTAAAAAAAAAGAGTGACATCATGCTTGGGAGGTTAAGAGCACAAGATAGGAAGACCCTTGATGAGATGGATTGACTCAGTGACTGGGCTACTGGGGGTAGGTGTGTCAGAGACAGTGAGGTTGGCACAGGACAGAGCAGGGTTCAGAGCTGTGTCCATAGGGTCGCTCTGAGTCAGAGTTGATGGTACATAACGACAATCAATAACCCCGCCTTGTCACCTGTCCCAAGCAATGACTGGTCTGGTTTTGATTTCTATCAGTGAATTTTACCTGAGGAGTTCTAGTGAGTGATGCACCAGTTAAGCTGCTATCTTTAAGGTTGGTGGTTTGAAGCTCTCAGTGCCCTCTGAAGGAAAACTGTCTTCTTCCATCGCAGCCTGGAAGGATCCTGGGGCGGCTCTGCTCGGCATGGCACGTGAGGCAGGATGGATGCGATGCTTCTTGACAAATTTTGTTTATACAAATTGGCTCTTAGAGAATGTAAGGTATCGTCCGTCTCTTAAATAGAGATGATATAGGTCCGACAGTGCAAGGACGTGGCCGGGCCTGAGCGTCACCCGAGCTGGCTCACGGTCCAGGACGGCCTTGTCCGCGTGCCCTGTCCTCCAGCACAGACCTCCGGGCACACGCAGCTCGCTGCTGGCCCGAGCTCTGCTTTCTAAGAGCAGTGTTTGTTTATTCTCTGGACACATCTCTGAGCAGACACCTCGCCGTGCCAGGCCCGGGACTGCACTGAGGGCCTGGAGACCTGGTTCGCCCTGTGTCAGCTCCATCTTCCCAGTCCCGCTGGGCCCTCCCTTGGAAGGCAGATTCCTGCCTCTCCTGCCCACCCCAGGGTGGTGACCTCCTGCTCCTCCTGGGAGCTGACACTGCAGATTGTTGTCTCCATCCGGGGGTGGGGCCTGGGCGGGCGGTGGGATGTGGGTAAAGGGCTCTGGGAGCTGGGAGGTCAGAGGAACCTGAGGGGCTCATGGCTACAAAGCGCTGGGCTTCCTCAGCCCTCAGGCTGGTCCACCATCTGGAACTTTGGAAGCAGGGCAGGACTCCCAAGGGAAAGGCCCTGGGTCAGGTGAGAAGGTTCAAGTTGACCCTTGTTTCTATCACTGGGTACCCAGATGGCACAGTGGTTAAACACTCAACTACCAACCACAAGGTTGGGGGTTCCAACCTACCCAGCGACACCTCAGAACACAGGGCTGTTGATCTGTTTTCAAAAGATCACTGCAGTTCTGCTCCAGTGCACAGGGTCACTGTGTGTTTATGCTGACGTGACAGCTGCTGGGTTTCCACTGTTTCATTTTTCACTGTGTTCTAGGCCTGGGAAGGGGTACAGCACAAATAGCCAAAAGCCAGAAGGCTGACAGTTCAAGACCACCCTAAGGCACCTTGAAAAACAGGCCTGCCAATCTCTTCCAAAAGGTGACAGTCTGGCAAACTGATGGGCCAGCTGTGCTCTGACTTGGGCGGCCGTGACTGGGACAAAGGCGATGGGCCACTTGGGGAACAGGGCCCTCTGGGAACCTCTCCCTTGATCCTGTTTTCATTGAGCTTGTCTTCAGGGAAGAGGCTTTGAGCAGAGAAGATGAGAAGCGCCCAACTTTTTAACAAGCATGGACCCCACCACAGGCTCCAAATTCCAGCTTCTGATAAAGCAAGTGTTGGCCCCAAGGCATCCTACACCCCACCTCAGAGAGGGACCCGAGAGAGGGGGTCCCCCTTGTTGGGGACATTTCAAGGACAAGTCAGAGCACAGGGCAGAGGAGGAGAGCAGGGCGAGCGCCAGGTGGCAGAAGACCAAGAGACAGAGTGCAGTTACCGGAAGGACCGCCCTTTTAATGACCCCGCTGGGCCTGCAGCGAATAGCTGAAACCACGAAGGACAGGCGGTTACATGGACACGTTGTGAGGAGCACAGACACACGGGCGCAGTAGCCACAGCAGCAGACATCCATCCACGTGACCAGGGCGCACACAGGGTCCCCAGGGCTGACCAGAGGTGAGGGACTGACTGCCACCAAGAGGGGGGCTCTGGGATTAGATCCTGGCTCTGGCCCTGTTCTCCCGCAGCCTGGCTCACCCTGGGAGCTCGTGGCAAAGGTGGGCCTCTGGGGGGGTCTTCACAGAAGCCCCAGGCCTGTCTGCAGGATCTGACCACCTGTCTGTCTGCCCATCCCATTTGGGGACGTGTCCATGAGCCTTTTGAAGGGAGGGTCCTCAGGAATGCAGGAATGAGGGGCTGGGGCCAGAGAAGGTCTGGGGTCACCTGAGCTGCCAGTACAGGCCCAGGTCTTTGCCAGGACCCTCCATTCTCTGCCAAGAGCATGGTCACCTCCCCTTCCTGGTCCACACAGAGATGGACACGGCCAGGATCCCACAGATCACACGTTATCGGTGGATATGTGTGTGCACAGGTGTGCGTCCCTCAACGTCCACTGTGAGGCCTGTGAAACAGAACGTTATGTGATTAAGACAACGTGTGGACACCACATTAGAACCACGGGGAGCCCGCTACAGGAGAAGGCGGCAGTGCTGGGGGCAGTGGGAGGACGGTGAGTCCACCCTGGCCTGGTCCTGGACAGAAGCCAGGGGCTGGACCCAGAGCCAGCTCCCCACCGGAGCCGGTGCTGCGAGAGTCTCAGTGTGGGATCGTAGGGAACGTTCATCGCTGTGGGGGTGCATCACAGCTGACCCTCAGCGAGCTTTCGAGGCTGTAAGAGATTGCCCGGCTTTCTGTCTCGCAGCAGCTGGTGGATTCGAACCATCAGTCAGGAGCCACCTTTAGGTTAGAGGAAAAGCTCGCTGTGGACTACGCCCCAGAACTCCCTTTTAACAACTTCCTGTTAGCGGAAACGACAGATGGAAAATGGCTTTCCCTTTGAAAAACAAACAAAACGGAAAACTTAAGGGATTACGGACATGTATGTGGTCAGACGGGCAGACACGGAGTGACGCATATCTGTGTGGGTATATTGGAAGGGCCCTGGTCACACAGTGTCTAAAGCACTCAATCGCTAACCAAGAGATCAGCAGTTCAAACCCACCAGCCAGCTATTCCTCAGGTGAAAACTGTGGCCGTCTGCTTCCGTGAAGAGGAAACCGCCGGGGCCCGTTCTACTCTGTGGGAATTAACTCGACAGCAACGAGTGTGGGTTTTTGTTGAGATATACATATATATATATATATATAATATATTTATATAGAGATTGTATATAGAATATATCTGTATATACGGCAGGTGTGTGTATAGGAGATTCTAGATAGCAACTGAGACCTGCATGCCGGCTGGGGGCTTCTTTACTCCTGGGATCCGGTTTTGAGACCTGCCCCCTGCTCCCCGCCAGCCGTTCAGCTAGGTCTGTCTCTAACAGTGAGTACAAAAGCTAAGAAGGGTGGGCCCAGCTCTGCCAGGAAGGGCCCCCCCCCATCCACAGGGCAGCTCCCCCGGGGTCAGCATCCTGGCAGCAGTGCCACCTCCTGGCAGCTCCCGGGACTGTGGCCTGGGCGGACACTCCTTGCAGGAAGCCCCGGATTCCTCCAGCAACCTTGGCTCCAGGAATGGAGGGTCAAAGAGGGTCTTCAGAACTCAGCCTTCTGCTCCAGGTGCTGCCAGGGAGGGGAGGAGGGGGAGGGTCCTATGGCCCGGAAGAGGGCACTGTGGCCGGTGGGCTGTGGACAAGAGAGTAAACACGGGTGCTAGGTTACACAGTGCCGGGGGACCCAGCACCCCCACCAGAGGCACATTTGAGCCCACCTCCAGCTACCCGAGCCCTGGCTTGTCCTCACTAAGGTGTGAGTGCTGGTCTTCCTGTACATCGCTCTGAGAATGACATGAACTGCAAAATGCCACACAAATTGGACAGGCTGCCAGTCTGTGTGTCCTGTGGGTCCCCTCCCCATCTGTGTACATGCAACCTCTTTGCTGGAACTGGGGCTTAAGGAGGATGTACTGGGGCGGCTATCTCTAAATCGCAACATCTCATTTGAGTGCCCAGGGGCTATCTCTAAATTGCACCACCCCAATTTCAAGATGAATGAATGAATGTTAACAGTGTCTGACTGCCCCCCCCCAGGTGAGGGGCATTTCCCACTGTGGGAGCTGGGACGATTGTGCCCTATCAGGTGCCCCCTTGGACTTGTGCTCGGGGCCAAATGCCTCATCACACCTCCTTGTCCAACTTGGGTGAGGAAGGACGTTGTCTCAGTGGTACCTAGGTCACATGCCACACCTGAGACCCTACATGAGCCCCTGGTCCGACTCTCTTCCCAGCCCAGCATCTGTCCTTCTGCTCCAGACTCTCAGTCCGTCCACCCATGTGAAAGCTCCCACACCCTAAAAGCAGACACAGTCCAGTAAACAGGGGCGTGGGGCCCACGCCTGCCGCCCTGATAAGAGGAGTCGGATGGAATCTTCTAGAACTCTCCTCTTTAACTCTATCACACCCATGCAGACCCCGGCCATGTGGATGCCAGGCCAGGCATCCAACTTAGACCTGTGTCCTCAAGAGTCCAGAGCTAGGGGTTAAGAATGGGAGGGGGGAACCCAAGAATAGGGTGCAGACCCAGAAGGGCTGTTGAGTAGGAGCCAGTCTCCATCACAGCCCAGCTCCCTCCTCCCTGAAGGAATGCCTTCAGGGCGGTTGCCTAGACCTCTGTGTTTCCTAATGTTGGGGCTTGACCAGGCCCAAGTCCCCTAGGTCCCAGCGGGGGCATGGGAGGGAGGAGACAGCATCACATTGGGAACCATTCCTTTGTGTGGTGTGTTGATTCATGGGGCGGCTAGGCCAGCTCTTCACCATCTATGTCCCCCAGGCTCCCGTAAAAGCCCTTTTCTCTGGAGCAGGAAGTCTTGTCTCCTTCTGTAAACAAAGTCACTCCCGGTGCCAGATTCTGCGGAGGAGGAGCTGGGAGCAAGAGGCCCCCTCCCCATCCAGACGCCCTCCTCCGTTGACCTCCTACAAGGACCTCCCTGGGCCCTCGGAGCAAAAACACCCTTGCTGCAGCCTCCCTCCCTCCGTGCGTCCGTCCGTCAGCCCACCTGGCTTGGGCCCAGCCAGGGCCAGCTGCACACATCTGGAGCTGGCTTGGCTGTCACCGCCCCAGCCCCTCCTCGGAGGCAGAAGGCCGCTGGGGGCCAGTGTGATCAGCAGCAGGAAGGTTGGGAGGTCTGGCCTCCCAGACCAACCTCAGGATCTTCCCTAAGGGGCTGGGCTCAGAGGCCTGTGCGAAGGCGGCTGGGGGGCTCTGGAGGCCCTGACAGACTGAAGGAGGGGCTGGGGCCTTTTCCATGGGAAACTGCTGGGAATGTCTCTGGACAGCGTGAGTCCTGAGCCGCTGGCTGACCCCTGGTCCCCATTCCCGCCTCCGCTTCCCAGCTCCCGGGCCCTGGCTCCGACAGCGTCTTCTTCCAGCTAGGCCTGGCCTGGCCATTTGGCTCCGAATGGAGGCCCTTGGGGGCAGGAGTGTTCCCAGCCGCCATGGAGTGGGGGCGGGGGGCTGCAGGGGGCCGCACCTCCCCCATGTCTGGGTCAGCCGGATCCTTGAAGGCAGTGGCCACCCTCCTCGAGAGTCTCCTGACCCTCTCAAGTGGACACGGCTCACGTGCGTGTGAGTGAGCGTCAGGCACCCCTGTGCACGTGTGCACCAGCACCTCGTGATGTTCCTGGCCCCCGTCCTCGGTCAGCCTTGGAGGAGCGCGTGGGCCATGTGATTGGTACCCAGGAGGAAGTGGCCGGAGCTGGCCTGGGCTGACTCGGAGCCTTGGGGTCAATCCTCCCCCAGGAGCCTGCACTGGCGCCTCTGCCCTGGTGGCTGTGGTCTTGGGGTGCTCTAGGGAAAGCCCCCCCTACTCTAGACATACATGTAAGTGCCCTAGGCGTGACTGCCCAGGTCATGGAGCACCAGTCTGGCCACTCTGCCAGTTCTTCAGTGTCAGAGCCCAAAGCCCCCTTCCCCAGCCCAGCTCTGCCCCGGCCGTCAGGCCCTCAGCCCCTCGGGGAGGCCACCCCCGCGTGGCCCGCTGGCTCAGCTCACATGGAGGCGTTGGGGACCTGCTGCACCCAGCCCACTTCCTTGTAGGCAGCGGTCACATGGCTGTAGATGAGCCCACGCAGCTTGGCCCAGGCTCTCTGCGTCTCGGCCGGGAAGTTGCTGGCAAATTCTTCAGCGACCACTTCCAGGATGACCCCAGAAATGATCTGGGGGCAGAGGGGGGTAAGTGAGGTGAATGTCTGCGCCTTCAGCATCCACTCTTCGGCAAGACCAGCCCTCGGGCCTGCACCCCTCCCTATCACCCCCACATACACAGACAGGCCTGGCAGCCCGGTGGTCCCCTCTGCCGCCCAGGGTGCCCTCGGCCTACAGGCTGCTGGGGGCGGCGGTGGGCCTACCTTGAAGTACACAGGCTCCACCTTGTGCTTGAGGGCGTGGGCTTTGCCCACCAGGGCCAGCACGGAGGACACCTTGTCGGGGTCGTGCAGGTTCTCCACAACCGTGTTGAGGGCCCCCATGACCCGGCAGGCGTGCTTCCGCAGCTGGGGGCTTCGCTCCATCTCCAGGGGCTCCTCCATGTGCCTGAACTGGCTGAAGTACTGCTTGGCCGACGGGAAGTTCACAAAGAACCTGGCAGAGGCGGGAGGCGGGACCCCCTGAAGTGACCAGAGCCTCCTCGGGCCCTGCAGCTGTCCTCTCTGTCCTACAGAGACCCTCCGTCTATCCAGGTGGACTTATATCAGTCCCTACCCAACATGGCCAACAAGTCAAGGCCAACTCACAGTGACACTCCATCAGGCCTCTAGGGAGCTCTGGTGCTTGGTGGTAAAGAATTGTGCTGCCAACCCAAAGGTACGTGGTTCAAACCCACCAGCCGCTCCATGGGAGAAAGATGGGCAATCTCCTCCTGTGTGAGTTGCCACCTCTAAAAACATGCAGGAGGGTCAGACAGCAACAACTGGCTTTCCAAGGCTATGAATCTTTCTGGGAGGAGGTTTTCCAAATTTCTCCCACGGAGCCACTGGTAGATTTGAACCTCTGACCCTTTGGTTAGCAGTTAGACACTACACCACCAAGGCTCAACTTCCTGGTCTTTCACCTACAGGACTTGCACAGGCTGCCAGCTTCTTCGGGGTCTCCTCACCTCTGCTTCTGCCTCCTTTCCAAACCCTACCCGCTCTTCAAGGCCTGCCTCAACCACAGGCCAAGGGCACCCGTGGGCTCTGAATTTATAGGCTGGGTGAACTTGGACTAGGCTGTTGATTTTTCTGAGCCTCAGTTTCAACATCCATAAAAATGGACATCTTTGCTCCTATCTCCTGGGTTGTTACCAAGAAAACTTCAAGGGCCTCAGAAAACTGAGGCCCCTATTACAGTGAAGTTAGTTGCACTGATCTTTTTGAGTAAAGAAAGGTCTCTTGGCCAAGGTGGCCTGGTCAGTGAGGGCAAGCTGAGACCCAGCCTCCTCCTCCTCCTGGCTCTGCATTGTACTGCTCCCCTCGTCGGACCGTGGTAAATATGGATCGGCTGGTCTCATTAAAGCGGATCATTGATTTCTACCTGCATTGAGTGGCTCTCTAACCACATCATGAAGTCTTCCCTCTCCAACAACAATGAACTTGGAGCTGATGTCAGATCTTCCTGCCTTGAGCCTCTCCCTTCTATAAATCAAAAGAGCAAACTCACTGCTGTCAAGTCTGACTCGTGGACCCTCCACCTGGTTTTTAAGGATGTAAATCTCCATGGAAGGAGACTGTCCGTCCTTCTCCCCTGGAGCAGTCAGGGTATTTGAGCCTCTGACCTTTCGGTTAGTAACCCAACACGTAACAAACACACTGTGCCATCAAGTCTCTCCTCTCTAATGTTGTCTGTTTCGTTTCTTTGAACATTCCACGTTCCTGAGGTGGCTCTTCAGCTCAAGAACATTCAGTGGCTCCCATGGTTGACCAAAATCAAAACCCAACCTAGAATCCCAGACGTCTCCCAAGCTGCCCCACGCCCTCTTCTCCACCACCACGTCCACATTCTCCCTACACGTGAGTCATCTCTGCTCTGGCCCAACAGCTTCACTCCATTAGGAAAACATTCCACACGAGCGCCAACCTTCCCCTTCACACAGGGGAATGCCTTTCTTACGCGCTCTCCTCAGACTTGCCTCTCCCTGTCCCTGCCGAAACTGGGCGTCCCCTAAAGCCCACCTGTCCCTCTTATTTCTTTCCTGTGTGTCTCAGACTGGTGGCCCCTGACCCCACCCCAAGGTCCTGCGGACACTGGCACCCCTTTCCCCACCAGGCCTGGGCGTCACATGAGGCGTGTGCCAGGACTCAGGCAGAACTTACATAACTTCACTGAATCCTCAGAAAATACACGGAGTTTCTCAGACCTGTTTTCCCAATCTGTTCCCCTTTGTCATCAGAGAGAACTGAGGATTTTCAGAGCTGGGAGCTGGGGCTGATGCAGAGGGGGCATGTGGTCTGAGCCACCCCTTTGGACCCCAGAGCTGCTGCTGGCAGGGGAGGCGCAGGCTGGGACCTGACGCAGGCTGGGGAGCCCAGAGAGGCCCAGAAGGCCGACTGTGACCTTGGGAGGCAGACAGGAAGCCCCTGCTCCACACCTCACTGCACCCACGGGTACACAGCTTTCTGGGGCAGCACTGTAAGGAATGTGGAAAGTTCCATCGGGACTTCAATGTGCATCTCTGACTTGGGAGGCTTGTCGGTTGCAAAAAGAGGCAGGAATCGTGTTTGCATGGCGTTGTCACACGCAAACTCCTCTCACTGCCCCACGGAGCAGCCCTCCGCATGTCTGTCTCACTGAGAAGTCCTCAGGGACTGTCCTCAGCTGGCATGGAGTTGATTGCCACTTGGGGCCGCTCAGTGGGTGTCAGGGTACAAGTGGGTTTTCCGTGGCTGCTTTTCCAAAAATAGATAACCATGTCTTTCTTCCAGGCATTGAGGGGTGGATTCGAACCGCCAACCACTCTGTGAGGAGCTGAGTGGCTTACCTGTGCCACCCAGCAAAATAGAGGTTTCTGACTTAGTCACCCTGCAGAACAGACTAGAAGTCCCCGGGGGGTTCCGAGGCTGTGGATGTTGGCTGAAACAGTCCACCTTTCTCAGATGAAAGCAGTTAGTGGGTTTAAACTGTTAACCTTGAGGTTAGCGGACAACTAGGTAGCCACTGCGCCACCACGGCTCTTCAGGAGACCTGCAACCTGCCCACTGAAGCCCCTGCCATAGGCCGACCCAGGCTCACAGCGACCGTCCATCGGTCTCCGAAGCTGTCAATCTGTATGAACCTCGCACCTTTTTCTGAGCACATGTAATGTGCTGAACTAGCACGGTTCCTCCAGAACGTAAGAAACGTCTGCTGGACCCTGTGATCGTATTCATCCCTGTAGCACCCTTCTGGGGGTGGACTGCCTGTACCCCACTTTATGGGGTAGGACAGTGTCACCTTACATGACCAGGGGAAGCAAGTGGTGATAGTAGAACACCCTGAGAACTACTGCTCTGCAAGACTGCTGTGCTGGGGGGACAGTGGCCTGAGAGCCAGTCACCTCTGCCTCAATGTCCATCCAGGGAGGCCAGGGACGGGGGTGGGTGTGGGGGCATGGCGTGAGCTCTGCCCCTTCCAGCCCCTGCGCCTCCTGGTCTACTCCTTACCCCCAGCCTGAGTTGCGGGGAGCAGCTTGGGGCACAGCCAGTCCTGGGGAGTTTCTGAGCTTCCAGAGGCATCTGTACTTTCAAGGCAGCCTGAAATAGGCTCGTCTGAGTGTGAGGGGGAAGGTGTCAGAGTTACAACCACAAGGGAGCCTTCGCAGAGCTGGGGTGTTCCCTGCAGCCTCTGCCCCACAGGCGTGAAGGTGTGGGCTCGCTCCCAGGGGAAGTGTGGGCTCCCTCCTCCACTGCCACCTCCAGCTGGGGACGAGGCCACCTTCTCCTATCTCCAGATCAGATCAGGGCACTGGACAGGAGGAACCAAAAGGCTCCAACCAACAGGCCCTGTCCTGGGGACTTACGAGTGAGGAGGAAACTGGTGAAACTAAGTATCTAGAGGGGAGATGCCCATAAAGCCAATGGATGATGTCTCCAACCCCTGCCCCCAGCTCTGCTCACCGGCCGGACCCTGGACTGACAGCAGGAGACAGAAGGGCCAGGAAGGTGGGTGCCCAGGCTGAGCAGATCCACAAAGGGGTGCGCTCAGGTGAAGCATGAGTATGAGGGGGCAGGTCCAGGAGGCTCCCTCGAATGGTCTGCCCCTTTAGCTCTCTCTGCTTTCTGAGGCTAAGGAGGGACCCTCCTCTGAGCACTGGGAGCTTCAGGAAACACCAACCCGCTCAGACCTAGCCCCCTGACAAGTCAGGAGTGGAAACTTGGAAGGGGTGTGGAGAGAAAAAGGAAACCTCACTAAGTCCTCCAAAAGCAGCCCTTTGCCCCAACTCCTGGAGAAGCTTGGTGGTGCCACAGGGGAGGGACCTTGGGCATGTCCTCCGTGTGTCCTGCCTGGCAAATGGCAGGGGTAGAATGGACGACCACAAGGGCCAGCAGACTGCTTCACTCTGGGGGATGTCCCCACTAGGGTGTGGGGGAGGCTGGTGGCCCTCAGTGCTGATGGGCCGCCCTGAGGCTGATCTCTGGAGATACAGCCTGGTGCCTCTGCACCTCCCCTCTCTACATGTGAGGGTGCTGACACTTTGGGGCCTCACCTTGGGGGTCTGAAACATGTAGACAGCCCCACTCCAGCCCAGCAGGGCTCAGAGGCTTGGGCTCCACAGCTTCCCCTTGGCCAGCAGCCCCCCAGTCACCTCCAAAGTGCTTCTCTCACTCCCTACTCCCCAAAACGGTTTCCAAGTTGAAGCCAGACGTTTGACTCTGGAGCTGGGTGGATACAGGCTTGGGGGAGGCAGAAGAGATCCATAGAAAGTGAGGGAGAGAAGGGGGGAGCAGTGTCACCCCACCTCCAGAGAACAAGCCTGCCCTGCTTTGCCCTAGATCTGCCAAGGATGGGGTTAGGTGAGGGCAGCATGGTGGGGTTCCCAGAAAGCAGACAGTGGGGGGAGAAGGCACGGAGTGTAACACCGAGCACTGACTGGCTCGTGGGGCTTGGAGATACCAAGTATAGGGGGGTATCATGGAATATTGTTGTGTAAACAACTGTGTAGTCCCTGAAGGGAGGGGGCCATCTAAGCCCCAGGTGCAGCCATTCCTTCCTGGGAGTCTTGGGTTAGGGCTCTCTCTCCCCACATAACTCATCAGGACTGGCCTGGGGCTCTTGCTGATACACTTGCCTGGCTAAATGGGGGGGGGGGGGTCCTAGTCAAACACTCTACCAGGTGACCAGGCGTCTCCTCCTGGCCCCGGGCTCCTCAGCACCGGGCTCCCCTGCCCGTGCCCCCTCCTGCCCCGGGCTCCCTTCCCTTCACTCTTTCCTACCAAGGAGTCTTTGAATAGGGGGGCTGCTTCCCTTCACCCATCTTTTTGGCTGACACTATTTTCATCTTTACAATGGGGAGCCCCACAACCCCTTTCTGAGGCGAGGGCACAACACGAACCCTTTAAGATTAGGGCCTGGCTGGGTGGCCGGGTGGGGTGGGGTCGCCGGAGAGGAGGCGCGCGCTGGGCGGGAGTTCTGAGGCCCCGAGTGGGGGACAGAGATGTCCTCTCTCTGCGTCTGGCTCCTCGTTCCTGGGGAGCCGCGCGCCC